TCCCCCGGCCTGTGCCCTCTGAAGCTGCAGTGACAGTGGCGACCGCCCATCTCTGAATCACCTTCGGGCGTATTCATCCCTTTTCTTGAAGGATAAGGCATGTGTGTGTGCTCGGTCATGTCCACCTCTTTGTGACCCCATGGACTGCAGCCCGCCAGGCCCCTCTGTCCATGGGATTTGTCAGGCAAGACTACTAGAGTGGATTGCCATGCCCTCCTCCAAGGGATCTTCCCTTCCCAGGGATTGAACCCGAGTCTCAAGGATTGAACCCGCATCTCTTATGTCTCCTGCCTTGGGAGGTGGGTTCTTTACCACTAGTGCCACCCGGGAAGCCCAGGATAAGGCATATTCACAGTGAAATAGCTCTATCGTTCAGTCTTGTAGAAACCCAGAAGCCCAGAAGCCTTCCTTAATTTTGTCCGTTGTTTCCTCTAGCCCAACCTGGCAGTGTTTCTCCTGGTGTAATCTCATCTCTGTTCCTGGTCTCTACTGAGCTGGCTGCTGGACAGTCTCTTTATGTGTGACTGTCCAGCCACACACACACACACACACACATACACCTGTGGCTGGTGTGCATACACCAGCATTTTTAACAATGTGCATAGACTAAGGATGTACCATATCTTTAGTTTCTGGTTCCGTTTTGCATAACAATTTTTTTTTCTTTACTGTATCTCTCTCTTCTCACATTTCACTATAAGCAATAAGGAGAAACCAGGTCATATTTTTTTCCTTCCATATGGATATCCAGTGGCCCAGACCATTTATTGAAAAGATAAATCTTTTTGTAGTGAGTTACCTCTTTGCACTGAGTTGCCTCTTTGCTATTGCTGTTAATCAGGGGACCATGTGTGTGTGGGTTTCTTTCTGACATCTCTGTTATATTCTATAGGTCAGTCTGTCTATTCTTATATCATTACCATCTTGACTCTCTAACAGGGGTTAATATAAGTAGAATAAGATCCCAGTTTTGTTCTTCTAAATTACTTCATTTACTTTTAACTCTTTTCATTTCCACAAGAGGAACTGGTGAATTATGTAAAAACAGTGGCTTGAATTTAATTTTGATTGTACTGAATCTGCAAGTCTTTTAAAAATATCTCTTATTCAGTGTTGAAGTCTTGCACATATTTCAGATTTAGTTCTAGGAATTTGACGTTCTTTGATGCTATGGTAAAATATATCTTTTCACATTTTTCATTTTTGTAGGTTGTTTCTGTTAGATATATATTCCAAGTTGGCAGTTATTTTCTTTGAGCAAGTAACTGGATTTAAATTAAACATGTTATTCCATTATCTCCTAGATGCTATCATTTTATTTCTGAAAAGCCAGCATCAGTCCTCTTGTTGCTCCTTGAAGGTGATGTGTCGTATTTTATTTGACTGTTTTTTAAAGTTTTCTCTCTGTTTTTCATGGTTTTACTGTATCAGTCTCCAAAGATGAACCTATAATGAATCATCCTCCTAGTATTTTTATTCTCCCCTCTGGAAAACAGAAAACAAACTGATTCTTGTAACTCACTCTCCTCCAATAGGGCATATCTGCTTTGACACTGTGATTTCCGGGGCTCAGGCGTAAGTCTTGCTGCTTATCTGGCCTCCTGAGACGCTCATTCTTTGGATACACACTCTGAGAACCTGACTGTTAAGATGTGAAATTACTCTGGGACCATAATGCTTTTAGAGAATCAAGCCACATGGAGAGGCATTGGAAGATCAGTTCTGGGAGAGAGAAAAGGGGTGCAGGAGGTGAGAGGGAGAGGAAGAGAAAGAAAGAGAAGTGAGAAGCCTGATGGAAGAGTGACTGGGCTTTTAGGCGGTCTGGCCCGGGCGAGCTCTCAGACGACTGCAGCCCTGCTGCTGTTTAATGGTTGTTGGGCAAGAGACCCTAAGCAAGAACTGTGTAGCTGATGTTGGTCAATCTACATACAGAGCTATGAGATCTGAGAATAAATTAAGACCTCAAGTTATGGGGTGGTAGTTACATAGTAAGAGACAAATGGAACTGAAAATGATATCTAGAAGTAGGTATGATTGAAATAAAACCTTAATGCATGTGGCATCACCTTTGGGACTACGAGGAAGGAGGATCCTGGAAGATCCTCAAAGGAACTGTTAAAGCAACTGGAAGGACAGGGAAGAGGCTATTAGCAGAGGCTGGAGGAAGGGCAACGTGTGTTACGTACTGGCAGAAAATATAGAGTGACTGATGCCTGGTGTAACATGGACAGTAGGAAATATACCTAATGAAATAGTGTACCTGCATAAGGAGAGTTCCAGAAAGAATGTCAATAGTGCTAGTTGGTATTTTTAGCCACGTATGATAAAATATTATATAAGAGCAGGAAAGAAGCTATAGAGGAACTTTTTCAGTTTCTAGCAGCAGAAATTAGAGAAAATATAAAGGATCCAGGGCTTACTAGTGTAAAAATAAAACTGTATCTTATTTCCAGCCTCTACATATGGCAAAGGCTCTCAATATCAGTCCTGGTCTCAGGATAGAGATTATCTCAAGCGTACAGCTATAAAGCACATTGTTAAGATTTCAGAATGATGTAAGGGTGCACTCCATTAGAATTAGACAAAATTTTCTTGGAATCTTAAAGGTGTTATTCTTCAGCTTCCTGACTTTCAACACAGGCAGACTGGGGCCTGGAACAAAAAGGATTTCTGAGTGGAGTTTTGCCTAGTGGAGTGAATCCCACCACTGTCACAGGAAGCCCAAATCTTTAAGAGAATTGTACTGACAGAAGCGTCATAAGCTCTGACCACAGTGGGTGGAAGTAGTTCAAAATGAAAAAACCCTCTGGGTCCCTAATCTTATATAAGCAGGAAGCAGGCTGAGACTGCGTCTTACCTGCAAACATGGATCATTTCTTGTGGAAAAAGAAAGTTTGCAATAATAATCAAGAGGGAGCAGACCCAGTCCTGGAGGGTGGAACCAAGAGCCTTAGTAAACAACTCCCCAAACAGCCCTAATCAGGGAACTGGCAACATATGCCCGAGTGAATTTCAGAATTGCATAGGATTAATGGCTGCTACGAGACGTGACTCTTGTTCTCTCTGTCCCCAACCTGACCTCTGACCCCACTTTTGAGCAGCAGTGTCTTGTCAGTTACAGTACTCTAATGTTACCACAGTTATCATGCTCTGGTGTGTTGAGCATGTGAGGTGAATGATTTGTATTCGTAGGTCTTCAGATTGAGAGGAGCTATACTCAGGGGTTGCACCCGAGGGCCCCAGGTGGCCCCAGTGGAAAAGAGCCTTCCTGCTAATGCAGTAGATATAAGAGACACGGGTTCACTCCCTGGGTCGGGAAGATCCCCTGGAGCAGGACGTGACAACCCCCGCTAGTATTCTTGCCTGGAGAAGCCCAAGGACAGAGAAGCCTGGCGCGCTACAGTACATGAGTTTGAAACGACTTAGCACACACAAGCCTTATTGACATTTGGGCCTTATTTAAATACTTTATGCTTGGCTTCTTGTCGTTGGAAGTGTCGGAACTAGCAGATATTTTGGGAGGAGTGTGGTTTACTTTCTTATACTTTTCTTTTGTCCAAGATCTTGTTTTGGCTGTTCCCAGATGCTTTTGATGCCTATAAAGAGATGTTTTTGCATTTTACTCATTTTATATTTGTTCTTAGAAGGAAGGTCAGTCTGATACAAGCTACTCTGTCGTAGTCCAAGAAGTCTGAGTCTCTCATGAGGATGCCTTTTGAGAACATGGTATATTATATTATATGTTATATATATTATATTATATGTTACATATATTCTATTTTATATATTATATACAATATATAGCATAAGTTGTATATATATTATTTATGTATAAATGAGTTTTATAATTTGTGAGAAATCTTTTAAACAAAATGAGAGTAACATTGGTCAAATCCATTGATGAACAACCTACACTATTTTCTAAATGTGAAGTATCCATCCATGAAAAGTGGATAAATCTGGATTTCCAGGTAATAAATTGCTTCTTTCCACACTCCACAGAGTTCACTGATGCCCTCGGGAAAAAAAAAATGGTATTTAAATATCAGGAACAAACACTTAATTCAGTGACAGAAGGGAGGTTTATGCTATCCCTAACACTCTACAGTTTAGGGTTTTTTTTGACAACTATCTTTGCCCGTTCAAATATGATCAACTCTAGTATTAACAGAATGAGAACATGGTATTGTTTAATACAGTTTATTTGTCTAAGGAAGAGAGACATATGCATCCTAGCTTACAAAGCATATTAATTTCAAAATCTAATTCTTCGAATTTGGATGTGGCAAGCATAAAATAGCAAAGTATGCCAGTACTAACCCCCTCCTGCCTCCCTCTTTCTGGAAGAAGAAGACTTCATTTCCTTTACTCATCATGTGTCACTCCATTACTTGTTCCAGACAAACTAGTCAGCAACCATAGTACTTCCATGGCTTCCTAGGTGGTGACAATGGTAAAGAGCCTGCCTGCTGATGTGGAAGACATAAGAGATGCAGTCTTGATCCGTGGGTTGGGAAGAACCCTTGGAGAAGGATGTGGCAACCCACTCCAGTATTCTTGCTTGGAGAATCCTATGGACAGAGGAGCCCGGCAGGGCTGCAACGCATGAGGTCACAAAGAGTCAAACACGACTGAGGTGATTGAGCATGTATTCCATAGCATGGAATCCACAGTTGAATTACAGGCAGGGGAATAATGAAATATTTAATGACTTGGGTACCAATCAGTCAGAACACGACTGATCAATGAGCTGCCTGATCAATCAGGAAAGGGATCAGACATGAGCAAGACACGGCTGTTCTTGACAGAGCAGCCCAACAGCAAGTTGGGTTACGGCCGCCATGTTTTTTTTGACAGAGAAAAAGTAAGAAAATGAGAAGCTAAAACAATTCTCCTACCAGGTCATATTGCAGTATTATAGGATGGACTACATTTTTCTTTGTCTTAAAAAGTTTAATTCTCTTGCCAGATATTTCAAACAGAAACTGCCATAAGTGAAATGCTTTCTTAGTACAATTTATTTCAAGTTACAAAAGAATTTTGAGAGAAAAACTTTTCATCTTATCACACTCCTGCTTTTTTCTTGAAGGAAGTCTCCAGGGTAATGAAGTAGTGGGTGACTTCTGAGGAAGAGGAATGTGAACAAGGAGATAATTCGGTGTTTTCCTTTATCACTGAAATTGAAACAAAGTATGTGGTTGTATTAATGAAAAGAAAGCATCCAAGGCCAAAAAGAAAAAAAAAAAAGGAACTATACTTCTCAAGATGTAGAAAAATATTTTCCATTTAATGAGATAATTTGCTTGAGGAAAATTTGAAATATTGAAAGGAAGAAAGATAAGTTAAATTATATTTTGTGTGGTGGGAGGGAGTAGAAATGGGGTAATTTGTCATAGAATCAGGATTTTGTGGCTCGGAGGAAAATTAAATGCCATCATGTCCTCTTCTGTCCTATTTTACATAAAGAAATGGAGATCCAGAGAGCTTAAGTGCCTTGCTCAGGGTCGTACATCTAGTTATTTACCAAGAAAAAGAGAAAAGTAGGGAAAAAAAAAAACCTAGTTCCTGAAACAAATAGCTTTTTTCCCTCTATTTTTAGGATTGCAAGTACCAGGGTAATGGATTAGTTCTAAATTAAAAACAAACAAACAAACAAAAAACTTGGGAAAATCACCTCCCTCTTCCCTGAGGCCTTCCTGCTGTTCCTGCAGCTGCCCAGAGCCATTCTTGGAAAATCCAATTCCCGGTCTAAACCCCCCTGCCCCTCATCAGAGCCCTCAGAACTCTGTCAAGTGAGGGCTGTTATCCGCTAAATGTATTGTTGTTTAGTCATTAAGTCGTGTCCGACTCCTTATGACCCCATGGACTGTAGCCCACCAGGCTCCTCTGTCCATGGGATTTTCCAGGCAAGAACATTGGGTAGGTTGCCATTTCTTCCTCCAGGGGATCTTCCTGACCCAGGGACTGAACCGTCATCTCCTGCATTGGTAGGCGGGTTCTTTACCACAGAGACACCAGGGGAGCCAGTTAAATATAACTGGGTGATAACTGGAATTTTGGAGGTGACTTTTATCCCTCTCCATTTTGAGGAATTGGTATGCCTGTCTGCTTTTCTTTAAACATTTTTAATTGTGGTAAAACACACGTTTAACCCCTTTAACCATTTTTAAGTGTATGGCTCAGTAGTATTCAGTACACTGACATTGCTGTGCGGCCATCACCACCATCCACCTCCAGAACTCTCCGCGTCGTGCGTGACTGAAGCTTGGTCTCCATTAAACAGCAGCTCTCCAGCCCCCGGGAACCACCGCGCCTCTCGCTTGCCCCTGTGGCTGTAACCACTCTAGCTGCCTCGTACAAGCGGCCTGTCTTTCTGTGACTGGCTTGTTTCACGTAGCCTCACGTCCTCAAGTTCATCCACACTCTAGCGTGTGCCAGAATGTCCTTCCTTTTTAAAGTGAGTTAGTCACTCAGTTGTATCTGACTCTTTGCTACCCCACGGACGGAAGCCCACCAGGCTCCTCTGTCTGTGGCATTCTCCAGGCAAGAGTACTGGAGTTGCTTTTCAAAGCTGAGTAATAGTCCATCTTGTGTGTACACTGCATTTTCTTTGTTTATTTATTTGATGGATACACAGATTTTTTTTTCCCACCGCTTCCCTTATTAGTGACCCATTTTGGAAATGCATGTGCAATTCCAAAGTGCATGTTCAAGGGAAGGTTGGAAACATTAGTATTTCATGTTCCTCGTGTTACAGAGGCATAAACCTCATATTAATTTATGGACATAATGTACTAGGATATTTTTTTCTATAAGCTTCTTTAGTTGTGGAAAGAGAAAAGTGGCTCACAGCTGGCCTGGCCCTTGATGTTTGAGGCCATAGATACTTCTTTCTTTTTTGTGTTTTTTGTTCTGGTTGCACCATGTGGCTTGAGGGATTTTAGTTCCCTGACCAAGGACTGAACCTGAGCCATGGCAATAAAAGTGCCGGGCCCTAACCTCTGGACCACCAAAGAAACCCCATAGGTATTTCTTAACATGATAGAATTCATGACAGATGGAGACAGAAGGCATCTTAAAGAAAGCAGCTGGATGGAGTTTGAGCATTTGGGCTTCACCATCAGGAACACCTAGGCTCAGGTTTCTAGGGCTTTATTAGCCCTGCAGACAGGACTGCAGTTCTCGAGTCAGAAGCTTGTAGACGTCACTGAATACGCATCAGCTTATATCCTGAACTCTTCCTTCACTAGGCTTCAAGTCATCCCCAGGCATAAAGGGAAGGCGTTTGCCATCTCATTCTCTCCTCTGACCTTATCTCTTACACTATTACACAGGTGTCATTATTTTTTTTTAACATTTTATATTCTTTTTGGGGTATATCCCATTAACAAACAATGTGTGGTAGTTTCAGGTGAATAGCAAAGGGACTCAGCCATACGTATGTATCCATTTTCTCCCAAACTCCTCCCCCATCCAGAATGCTGCATAACAGGGAGAGAATTTCATGTGTCATACAACAGTGTCCTTGTTGGTTATCCATTTTAAAGGTAACAGAGTGTACATGTCCATCCCAGACTCCCTATCTATTCCTTCCCCTCACCGGCAACCTTGAATTCATTATCTGAGTCTGTGAGTCTGTTTTGTAAGTGAGTTCATTTGTATCATTTCTGTTTAGATTCCACATATAAAGGATGTCATAGGTTTCTCCTTCTCTGACTGACTGACTTCACTCAGTATGACACTCATGTTGCTGCACATGGCATTATCTCATCTTTTTAATGACGGAGAAATATTCCATTGTATATATGTACCACATCTTCTCTATTCATTCCTCTGTCGATGGACATTTAGGTTACTTCCATGTCTTGGCTATTGTAAACAGTGATGCTGTGATCATTGGTTTGCACGCCTCACTTTGCATCATGTTTTTCTCCAGCTATATGCCCATGAGTGGGATTGTAGGGTCATATGGTAGCTCTGTTTTTAGATTTTTAAGGAACCTTCATACTATTCTCCATAGTGACTCCACTAATTTGCATTCCCACCAACAGTGTAGGAGGTTTCCCTTCTCTCCACACCCTTTCCAGCATTTATTGTTTGTGGATTTTTTGATGATAACCATTCTGGCTGGTGGGAGGTGGTATCTCATTGTAGTTTTGATTTGCATTTCTCTAATAATTAGAAATGTGGGACATCTTTTCATGCACCATTTTATTCCCTTTTTGTCAATTAAAAAAGATCCCTGAATACATATAAATTAGTGAAGATGGATACTTGGTCAGTGGTGTCTACTTCGTGCCTGTGTATCTGGTTCTCATCTTTAGTCCAGCAAGTAGGTTTGGAAGGTCTTTCGCGGCGTTGCTGAGGACTGCCTGGCATTTGGGAAGTATTCAAGAAAGCACGATTGAACTGAACTGACTCTCATGTAGGGGAAGGAAATCACTAATGGTGGGTTGGTTGGTTTGTTGGCAGGTGGGTGGTGATCAGATGTGGGCGAAGAGAATTGTTTTAGAAGAGAACTGTGGCAGGAACACCAAACGGGAAGCTGAGGCAGCCATCAGGGTGATCTGGGCTTGAGCAGGAAGGAGACCATCGGGGTGAAGCAGTGGGGCCAACAATGGGGAGGGAGAACTGGGAGAGGACTTAGAGACCGTGTCTGCTGTGACTCAAGAGAGTAGCTTCCGGAAACACCCCCTCCTCCTGGGCGGAAATTGTAGAGTATTGCTATTCCCGTGTCCCATCCTTTATGGCCCCTGCCCACCCCAGATCCTCCCAGCATCTTCATCCCTTGGCCCCATTCATTGACATGGAAGAGGACAGACTAGACGATGACTCTGATGAGGTTTGCCTTGGGACAGTTGGGCGGATGGTGATGAGATGACCATCATCCGATCCATGTGATGTAGAGGTCAAGTGATTTGTGCAAGATCAGTGGACAGACTGATGACCACATTATGTGTCCTTATTGTGCTGAAAGCTCCCAGCCAGAATAGCTTCTACCTCATTACCCCCACGGCCTCTTCCCATTTCATAAAAATGTCTACACCCAGAACATGCTCAAACAACTTTCAGAAATGTCATTAAAATTAAGAAGATACTTAAAAGGACACATGAGAAGCCACATTCAACAAGTACAGAAATAAATTAGAGATGAGAAAAATATTAAAATACCTGACCTGCGTGGGTAAGTGCATAATATTTAAAATTATCTCATCCATTTAGTTCTAGTGTTTGGTGTCCTAATCTGAAATATGAAAAATGTTCTCATGGAGAGGCAGGCGAACTGAAGGAGGATATCTTAATATACAGTGAAATATAAATTAAAAAGCTCTCTAAAGCTATTAGTAAAAGTACTGAAATACATTAGCAGGTGCATGGGTTCAACTTTGGATGAATGTTCTTTGAAATCGGATTCATCACCAAAATTAATCTGAGAGGTGTCAAATCTGTGCTGGGTTAAAGAGGTGACAAATGGGAAGATTTCACTGAAGTTCCAAATTGTAAAAGGATCAGAATTAATAATCCTCTGTCATGAGAAACCTGATCACTTAGGAGTTTAAGAAGCTTATGCCTTGTTAAGAGATTGGAAAAGAAATCTGACATATTGCTGGTGAAAGTAGTAGTCTGGTCACCAGTTGGATTGATGTGGTTTGATAAATAATTTCAAATCAACCACAGGCTACCACAAAGATGTGTGTCTGGAACTATCACATGAGTCAGCGTTTATGTCTTTCAACAGGCTGGTCAATTCAGTCTCTTAGAATGGAGTAAGTACAGTACTTTCCACCTTCATATTTTTTTTTTAATTGAAGTATAGTTGATTTACAATACCATGTTAGTTTCAGGTGTATAGCACAGTGATTCAGTTATGTGTATTCATTTTCAAATTCTTTTCCTTTATAGTTTTAATACAAAGTATTCAGCATAGTTCCCTGCGCTCTACAGGAGGTCCCTGGTGGGCGTGTATTTTACATATAGTAGTATAAATATATAAATCCCAAGCTCCTAATTCATCCCTTCCCTTCCCCCTTTGGTAACAATACGTTTGTTTTCTATGTCTGTGGGTCAGATTCTGTTGTGTAACTCGGTTCATTTGTATCCTTTTTTGTTTTTTAGATTCCATGTATAAGCAATACCTTATATTTGTCGTCCTCTGTCTGGCTTATTCACTTAG